AAAAAAAAAAAAAAAAAAGGATCCCTTTCTGATTCATAGAACTGAAGAATCCCTAGGCTGGAAAAACATCAGTGTTCTTCTAGAGCAACTTACCATTCCCTGGGTTAATTCACTCTCTGACAGTCATCAAGAGGGGCTTTAGGCTTTCCTTGATTACCTCCAGTGATGGGGAACTCACTACCTTATGATGCAGCCCACTGCATCTTTAGACAGCTCAGACAGAGGTTCTTCCTTAGGTTAAGCTAAGTCTATCTCCCTGTGACCTCCACCCACCCTGTTCTAGGGTGTCGTCCTTCAGGCTGCCAAGAACAAGTCTGTCTCTTCTTGAGCCAGGCACCCCCTTCCTTCAGCTGCTCCTCAAGTGGCATGGTGTCTGTTCCCCACTTGGCACCGCTGCTCCCCTGCTCTATTGAGACGTAGGGTCTCTCTCTGCCCCCCCCGCCTCCGCCACAGTCTCCCAGGGAGTCTCAGGACTTCCTTGGGAGTCTCTAGTTCAGCCCACAGCCAGCACTGTGCCCCCTGCCTCACACTGGGTGTGTGCAGAAGAGTTTGAAGTGGGATTCCTACCCAACACCATGAAATACTGAGTGCTTATGCATATACTATAATGTATATCCATATATGCGTGCATATACGCTACCAAGTATGTTACATGGTTTCTAACCGAGAGCCGTATTTTGCGGATTGGATAATAAATCTGGGAAGAGGAGGAGATGGGATGAAAGGACAGTTAGGATGTGAATGGGTGGGGGAGGGGTCGAATGGAAACCAGATTTGTGAAGCATCTTCTAGGGGACGGACACTGCTCTGCTTTACTTGACATCCTCTTACTAACCCTGTAAGGTAGTTGTTATCCTTACTTTACAGGTAAGGACACTGAGGTGCTGGGGAGGGGTGGGGGCGGAGGGAGCCACCAGAACTAACCAATCCCAGCAGCACCGGAGCCGGAACTCACCTGCCACCCTGTTCCCTGTCTGCTGCTTCCAGCCTGGGAAAGGGGTGACGGATCAGAGATCCTGGGTGGGATGCAGAGCCCTCCGAGCACTCGCTGCCCTTCTCCCCTCCCTGTCCCCACCCTGCTTCTCACTCAGCATGTACACAGTATGCTGGAGGAGATGGGGCGGGGGGGGGGTGCTGTCCCTTGTTGAGGGCTATGCAAAGGCACAGGGACGTGTTCAGGTGGTGAGGCACGCTGGGCATTAATTGAAGCAGGGTCCCCATTATCCTGTCTAGGAGGGTCTTCTCTACAGACCTGTGAAGCTCATCTAGCGCCCTGCCAGTTTTAAAGTGATGAACTGCCTCCTATGCTGCTGGACCCTGAGCGTCTCTCCATGTGTGCCTATCCCCGTGCCCTGAGCTCCCTGCCCCCTGTCGTCGCTGAACGCGCCGCACTCCCGAGAATCCCAGGGGATTTGGGCCTCTTCCCAGCCAGACTCTAGAGACCTCCCTGCTAATCCAGGACCGTGGCCTTGCCCTCCTCGCCTCCACTCCCTTACTCACCCTCCACCAGCTGCCCTCTCCCCATAAGTGCCCAGAAGATATTTTCTTGAGCCAAAGAGATGCCAGAGAGGCATTCCAGGAGCATCCTCAGCTCAGGGCCTCTCCTGCCCCCTTGTATAGGGTCTTTTGGGGTCAGGTGCTCCGACCTTTGTTGCGTGGGGTATTTTTTGGTTTCTCAGACTCTGAGGAAGGCGTGGTGAATATTCTCCATTTTACACACACAACTAAAAGCGAGGCTTGCCTCTGACTTGAACCTCATCTCAGGTTGGAACACCCCAAGCGGGCCCTTGTGAAATAT